AAATTGTAATTTGAATTGTAATCAGATAACTAATTACTTTAAAGTTACTTTGAAAACATATCAAACCTAAAAAAAAAAAATATACACTTCAAAGTGAAATTTGTAGTTCTTTCAGTAATTTAATATTGACTGAAAAATATTACAAAGGTATGAAAACAGCAACTTGACTTAAAGATTTAATCCATTTCTAAAACTTAACATTCTTAGTATAAACCTGCCTAACAATGAAAAATGTACCTTTTGAATGTGCCTATACAGTGTTTTATATACAACATTGCTTGCTGAGTGTAGGGTATATGTGTATGCTGGCTTAACTGTGTGAGCATTAAAGACAGAAAAAAACTTCATAAATTGAAAACGGTATTGATGAACACACAGTGCATATTTGAATGCTAAAAAGGAATCTTGCTGCTTTGTTTATGGATGTGATGTGGGCGTTTACAGGCTCGCGCGTCTCACGTGGAGGATTACCGTATGAATAGCGCGTGCTACGCGGGGGCGTGATCACATTACAGAGAATGAGCTCAGACAGGAAAGACTGGACCTCGTGTTGGTTTTATACGGATTATTTCATCAGAGATAAGACTTACTTCATTTAAAAGCAGACACTTCAAGCTTTCTATAGATATATTTCTCATGTCTGTGTGTGTGAAGTATTCGCTGAGTTTTGGTTCTTTTTAGTGACGCTTTTCAGAAAGAAGTTTGCGGAGACTGAGACGGCAGAAAGCGCACCCTGTTTGTTTTCTTTATTTTACAAAGGCACAATCTTTTGTTGATATTGTGAGTGTACACAAATAAAAGTAGACACTTCACAGATTCAAATGATGTATTACACTTATATGTACTATCAAAAATGGCGGAGCATTTTAAGTTATTTTTGCTGTTTTCAGGAAAAAATGCAAGTGATCGCCCCGGTGCCTCCGTCGACCCCAAAACGTGATTTTAAAAGGCATATAAATATTATTTTTCTTAACTATATTTGTAACGTAAGTAATGTAATTATATTGACTTTAGCAACTGTAATCAAATTACACAAATTTAAAATGTAATGCGTTGCATCACTGCGTTACCAGAAAAAAGTAATAAGATTACAGTTACTCGTTATACCCAACTCTGGGTATTACCATGCTTTTCTTTACAGTATATTGAAGTACCATGTAAATCTCATAGTATATGTGTACAATAATTATTCAGTAACATGTTTTATATTAGAGTACAATGTTTTACCATGTGATATATGTATAATTATTGCATTTTATTGATGCAGGTAACAGTCCGAGATGCCCTCAACCAGGCCATGGATGAGGAGCTGGAGAGGGATGAACGGGTTTTCCTTCTCGGAGAGGAAGTCGCACAGTATGATGGCGCGTACAAGGTCAGATGCAAAGACTTTTATTATATTTCGGTTATCAATAATGCCAAAGCATCTTTTAAAGTTGCTTGTGTTGGGTTGCAGATTAGCAGAGGCCTTTGGAAGAAGTATGGAGACAAACGCATCATTGACACACCAATTACAGAGGTGAGAATGATGATAAACTTGTCCAAAAATCATCTACGTATGTTCTTAATTGTTATATTTAATATAATTTCCTGATTTGTCCATACAGATGGGCTTTGCTGGCATTGCTGTTGGTGCTGCCATGGTGAGTTTTTCCTGTAGCAACATTGATAAAAGAATTTGAAACTCTGTTATGTTCCCAAACTAACCCATCACATCCTCTTTCAGGCGGGTTTGAGACCCATTTGCGAGTTCATGACCTTCAACTTCTCCATGCAAGCCATCGATCAGGTCATCAACTCCGCCGCCAAGACCTACTACATGTCTGCTGGCCTGCAGCCCATCCCGATTGTGTTCCGCGGGCCCAACGGTGCTTCGGCCGGAGTGGCGGCTCAGCATTCCCAGTGCTTCGCTGCCTGGTACAGTCACTGTCCCGGACTGAAGGTGGTCAGTCCCTGGAGCGCCGAGGATGCCAAGGGCCTTCTGAAATCAGCCATCCGTGACGATAACCCTGGTGAGTTCCTCACCGCGTGAGGCTAATGTTCACAGGAAGTGAAGGCGGCTCTAACTGTTGTGTCGTGTCTCTTTCAGTGGTGTTTTTGGAGAATGAGCTGATGTACGGTGTGCCGTTTGAGATGTCTGAAGAGGCTCAGTCAAAAGACTTCATCATCCCAATCGGAAAAGCTAAGATTGAAAGACAGGGTAGGTAATATTATAAGTGAATATTATAATTATTCATTTTTTTTATATAATTATAGTAGTAGTAATATTAAATCACACATAATACTATATAATTTACTTAAATACTTTTTGATTACACCAGGGTTTCTCAAACTGGGTTTTATTTTTGAAGAACTGCAGTTTGTAATGTAATGTAATCTGTTAAATTAAAAGAAATAGATGATTTATAATATTTTAAAATAATAATAAAATATTTCCAAAAAATAAATTATTTAAAATAATTTTAAGCTCTTATTTAAAAGCGTGATGTATATTATTTGGAAAACTTTCGTAGGAAGGACGGAATAAAAAGCAAACTAAAAAGAAAAAAAAAAGGAAAGAATTAGGAGGAATCAATGAATTATTACAAATTTACTGCCATTTTGTGAATATTAAGTAATCATGTAATCAATGAAAAACAACTAGTCTAATTAGGAGTATTTTACAACATAACGTAATATAATCTAATTACAAGTATTTCATCTTTGGAGTCTGATTGCGTAATCCAGATTACCGTAATCCGTTACTTCCCAGCACTCTATATATCCTGTTACAACTAAAATAGACTGAAACAGACATATTTTATTTAAAATGTTAAAATATGTACACGTATATTTGGTTAAATTGTTTATTGATTTATGCATTTTAAAAATCAAAGGTTTTTTAATATCATTTTATGTTTTCTTTAATTTTTTTTGTTCAAAGTCTATTTATTAATATTTTACGTAATATAACAACACTTTCAACAAGAAAAAGGATGACAAAATAAATTTTCTTGCTCCAACAGAGCTCCCCACCCCCACTGCACCATTATTAAACATTATATTATAGAGACTCTTAATCTGTTCTACACCATATTATTATTATTTATATACATATATATGCATGTATACATAGATAAATATATATATATATACACGTTTATTCTTATACTGTACATATATGTACATACATTGAACCACAATAGATTAACAATTTAAAAAGAAGGAATATAAAGGTGGGAAAAATGACAACATCAAAATTAAACAGCAAATATTATATTTGGATCCATTTGCTCTATGTATGTCAGCACTGGCTGCCAAATGGAGAAAAAAGTTTGACTGCAGCCTTTAGTGGAGTACCGAATCTTCTCTAATGCAAGGTGGTACATAATCCAATGACTAAAAGTAGGTGGAGATTTGTCCTTCCACTTACACAATATAAGACGTCTAGCTATTAAAGTTGAAAAGTAAATCATATTCTTTGCATTATTATCTAAACAGAGTTCTGTAGATAAACCAAATATTGCAAGAATAGGAGAAGGGTTAATAGATAAATACATATAAAATACATATAAATATGAATTGCCAGAAATGAACAAGCTTAGAACATGACCAAAACGTGTGTGTATGATTAGCTATCTCAACTCTACACCTATCACACAAATAGTTTATATTTGGTGAAAATGTTGCTAATATTGCTTTTGTCCAGCCTAGGCGGTGAACCACTTTAAACTGAATAATTGTATTTTGTAGACAAATAGAAGTTGAATGAATCTTATTTATAATATCTTGCCATGTTTCCTCAGAAAAAATCAAATCAAGTTCACTTTCCCATTGTTGCTTTGATTTTGTTAAGAATGTTAAATTTTGTGAAGAAATCAGAGAATATATCAAACCTATATTATTTTTTTTATCTATACCTTTATACTTTATTTTTACCTATATAATCTCCGCTTCGCGTCGTGCCTAACAACGATAGTTCCGGTCCTTGATTCTGATTGGTTGAGTTCGACGCTGTTGTAAATTACTCTACAAACATACACCTTTGTTTACATTTGTGTGTTGCTCGGCAGCCACTTTGTTGGAACCACAACTGTTTCTGAGGAACTACATTGTTGGGTGGAAGAATACTGTTTTTATTCATATCATTACACTTTACTTTTATTTTATAAAAGCAATAAGCCCCGTGAAGCTGTGGTTTACTGTGAATTTATAACAGCTAAGGGGCGTTGTTAGGCACCACACGAAGCGGAGTAAAAACTGGAATAAAAACAATATTATTTTTAATATGTATTATTCATCTTTTTCTAGCCTGTAAAACAAAATCTATTACTGCTATTTTGATAATTGTATTAATTGAGTGACAATTAATTGCCAGCCATTGTTTGAGACTGAATTGATCTCTGCATATTAATATTGTTGGTCTGATGTAGGAAATCACGTCACGCTGGTGTCTCATTCCCGAATGGTCAGTCTGTGTCTCGATGCTGCTGCTGTCTTGGCCAAGGAGGGGATCGAGTGTGAGGTATGACAGCTTTTATCATGGTGTAATTGCTTTAAGTGGCATTTTCAGTTGAGCTGAAAATTGAATACTCTGTATTTTCGTCTGTAGGTGATCAACATGCGCACAATCCGGCCTCTGGATGCGGAAGCCATTGAAACGAGTATAATGAAAACAAATCATCTCATCACTGTTGAGGGCGGCTGGCCTCAGTTTGGAGTTGGGGCCGAGATTCTTGGCCGGATCATGGAGGGTAAAGATGTTTTAATCTGTTTTTAGTATTTGTTCATGACATAACTTTTAATGAATGAATATTGCAAAAATGCTCATTTGAAGTAATTTGCTGTGTTCAGAATGGAATACTAGCGCACTATTTGCTGTATTCTGCACAGTGTGTAGTATATACTGTTATACTTCATTTTGTAGTATGCAACAAACGGATAGTTCCGGACCTTGATTCTGATTGGCTGAGCCACGTTCGAAGCTGTTGTAAATGACTCTACAAACATACACCTTTGTTTACATTAGTCTGTTGCTTGGCAGCCACTTTGTTGCAACCACAACTGATTCTGAGGAACTACATTGTTTGGTGGAAGAATACTGTTTATTAATATCATTACACATTATTTGCTCTGTTGTATTTTGTGAAACCTTACTACGTATATGGAATAAACCCGTGAAGCTGTGGTTTACAGTGAATTTATAACAGCTAAGGGAGTTTTAGAGTTCTAACAACGCCCCTTAGCTGTTATAAATTCACTGTAAACCACGGCTTCTTGGGGCATATTGCTTTATTTTAAACTGCAGTATGCTATATAGGGATGCACCGATATGAAAATTTTGGCCGATACCGATAACCGATTATTCATGCTATATTTTAGTCTCATGACCTCATGTTGGATGATTAATTTTATACTACATATTATGTTCTTAGAATAATATTAGGGAATGTGTCATTCCAAACATGCCCATCGTTGCTTCCTCCTCAGTAAGCATATTTATTATTTCTTGTTTTTTAATTCAAGGTCCTGCTTTCAATTACCTCGACGCCCCTGCAGTCCGAGTCACGGGTGTAGATATTCCAATGCCGTACGCCAAGATTTTGGAGGACAACAGCATACCGCAAATCAAGGACATCATCTTCTCCGTCAAAAAGACTTTGAATGTTTAACATAATAGATTTCCCTATCAGGACACATTAAATATGAAATACTACACGTTCTCTCCCGTTTCTGCATCAATGTTTGGGGAATAGGACGTGCTCTTTCATCTTGTACAGGCCTTTCTGTTACATGACCCTTCCTTCATTGGCACTATATTAAAATAATTTTCTCATTTTGACTCCAAAATGAGGTTTTGTCATGACAGTGACATTTATTATGGCTATAAGCAACCAACCATGTGTATTATGCTGTAAATTCTACTCTAATCTAAAGTAATTAACTTTTATCATAATGGGTTGTAAGAATGGTTGTGATTTCTTTAATCTCATTATTTATATTAAGCATTTTTGCAGTATTTAAGTAATAAAGTTTTAGGCGTAGCCATTTAGGAGAGCTTTGTAAGATTATGGTCAGGTGGATGTAACACCAAAATTCATTTCAAGTTTTGTAAAGCTATATGTTGGCTACTTGGAAATAATAAATGCAAATAAATAAGAGTAATAATAAAAAAGCATTCAGTCCGATGACATATTCTACTGTATTGCCTGACCTTGAACATTTCAGATATTTGTTTTGGGTAAATATATCTAGACTTATGAGAGCAGTGCCAGTCCATGTGATTAGAAGGATTTCAGAAGGATCACAGAAAGCAGTATCTGCCGATACGATCACCGATACCGATATTTTTAAAGCCTTCTTTTTATCATGTAGAATTATTTATAGTGATGATCCAATCAAGCTTTTTAGACATTTATTCAGAGCCTGAATTTCATTTTTGAAAGGTGACTCTTGTGAGAGGGGATTTTTTTATTTGAGGGGTGGAGGGGGGCATTCTTTAGACATTTTTCAAAAATATATATTTCTCTCCTAAATGTTTGATTATACACTGCATTTTTGTTTTGACGATCGTGCATTTGTTGCACAATAGCTTACACACAGCACAAGCCTGATTTCGTGAGCTGTATGTGAGGCGGTCTACGCCGGGTTCACACATACTCCGTTTGCAGTGTGTATGTAGGCCATGTGCAGTACGTAAGTGGTGCAGAGGCAGCTTTCACACAGGTGTCTGCAACTGATCCGCGGCTGTTTACCACAAACACAACATTTATCCATTATTTTGATTTCAAATCCAAACATTGTTACTGAACATGCTTTTTCAGCATTGTGATTCTTTTTTTAAACAGTACAGTAATACAATCTTTCATAGACGTGTTTAAGCGCAATAAATATAAGAAACACATTATTCAATGCTTTTTAAGCTTTTGCATTTACTTCTAGATTTAGGCTAAATTTTAAGTTGCTCAAGCAAGTGGCAAAACATTTAAACTACTTTTCTTACATTGTCACAAACACTCAAAAATAAAACTTACCATTGACAGAAACAGTCAGCTCTACTGCCTTTTCTTTTGCATTTAATTCTTTATTACAAGCAATCCTGCGGTTCATAAAGAACTTTGTTTTCCTACTCCACGAGTGCCATCTATTATTGCCTTTATCTAAAAGTGCTCTTTTCCTTTAAACCTAGCCAAAAAGCCATAGCTTGTGTTGACTGTGAAACACAGTGGACTTTAATTATATGCATTTATGGTGTAATTACTACATTTTCATGTCAATCCATGTTCATATTTACTGCAAACAATGCGCTGTCACTTTAATTCAGCGCGTGCAGTGGAAACGATCTCGCTCCTGGAACACACTGCCGGACCGCAACCGTGTGCAGTGAACGCTTTATCCGTTAACATGAGCGCGGAAAAATATACGCACTGCAAACGGAGTAATGTGAACCTGGCGTTATGTGTGTGCGCTGCGAGTGTGCATGAGCGCACGGTCTCCAGGAGAATGGTTTAAAGGGGCCATATGATGCTTTTTTTAAAGATCATTATTTTGTGTATTTGGTGTAACAGAATATGTTGACATGCTTTAATGTTCAAAAAACACATTATTTTTCAAATACTGTACATTATTGTAGGTCCTCTATGCCCCGCCTCTCTCAAAAGCTTCGTTTTCTACAAAGTCCCTCCTTCCGACAAGCTCAGTCTGCTCTGATTGGCCAGCTGACCCAGTGCATTGTGATTGGCCGAACACCGCAAGCACTCATCGGAAATGTAACGCCCCTTACCATAATCACAGCTTCATCTTTCAAAATAAATGTAAAGACAGAGCCCGAAAGGGGAACAGAGTCGCGAGTGACAGACACAGTGATGAAGCTGCGTGAACATTTGGGCGGCATTATGCTAATATTTCCACATAGTGATGTAGATATGTGGGGGCGTGTTAGAACGAGCCGTTTTAGGGGGGCGTGGCAGAGTCTTAACTTTGATAAAGAATATCTCTTTGGTTTTGAGACTTTAGTCTTTGCAACTTCAGGGATCTTATCTATGCACAATCAGCTTGTAACACTCCAAAGAGAAAGGAAAACTTGAAATCGCATCATATGACCCGTTTAAACACTGGCAAGAATTAAAAAGAAAAGCAATTTATAAACTTTAGTGACGACGCTACACTGCCTCGATTGTATAAGTGACAATTCCTTTGTCAACTGTGCTGCGTGCAGCTCGCTTAGTGCAGATGTGATGTGATTTGAAGCCATTTACGCATTTTGAGAGAGAAAGAGAGAGCGCGCGCGGTGATTCACTCACGCTGTTTGTGAAATTATGTCTTACAGAAAGTTTTCAAATTACTTTATAAGTTATTTAATGAAGAAATATGAATTGTACCTCACCTTCAGCATTATAGTTATTTAACCCGCGCCAGACAGAGACTGAGACGGTGCATCAGCTTGAGATCGTTTTTTTGAGATCGGCCTTTGTAGAGACCGCCGATCAAACATCCCAAAGCGATTATCGGCCGATAATGATCGGTGCCCGATCAATCGGAGCACCCCTAGATTTCAGTTTTATATGAAATCAGTGTTTATGGTGGAAATTATGACACAGTTGAGGTATAGTTGTTATTTGTTTAAAAGTTGATGACTATTTTCACAGAAATTTAATGTTTTATGTTTATTTTACTCAAATATAATTTAGAGCTTAAAAGTGTAACCACAATAGATTTTTCAGAATATAAAATATTACAATAAAGGTATTCTAAAACGGCATTTAAAAAGCAGAAATAAAGTAATAATAATAAATAAATTTTAAATAAATAAATAAATAAATAAATAAATTTTAAAGATGTAAAAAAAAGAGACATTTTTAACAAAAAGAGAAAATGTTTGTTTTCTGTTTGAAATCTGACAAAAGAATTACTCATATAGTACATTACACTTGTCAGGATCATAGTATAAGTTCTGCTGATTTAAGTGTTTTGGATAAACACGTGACAAAGGCAGACAGGGCGGTGATTTGCATAATGGGCGGGGCTTGTTTCGTGGGTGTGTCATTTCCGCTCATCCCACAACTGATGTCCCTCATCTGTCCTGCTCTGTGAATGCACATCACAGCTATTTTACAGCCTTTACTCAAGCAACCGATTCTCTTTAGAATATAAGGCTTTCAAGTTGCTCTTCAATTTTGGAAAAATCATGAAAGCCCCCCGAGGAAAGCAAACTATCCTTGTTTAAACCCCTGTCCTCCGTTTTGCTGATGCTTTGGACAAGAGGAAACAACTGAAGGACGAGGAGGAGAGACTAAGATTCTTAAGAAAACGTATTTGCAACGAGGTAATATAAGTAATCGGTTTGTATTCATATTATGCGATAGACTGTTGATCACGCATTTGTTTTGCGCGTGCTACACCATCTTTAATTATCATCAATAATTTCTTCAATATCGATAGATTGCTGCTTTTCGTTGCTAGTTACCTTTACATTTCTTCTTGTTTGTTTTTGAGACGTTGCACAAATTGCTGGGAAACCCTTCAGATGCGTCATTCGTTTCACGATAAATGTTTCCATGGTGATTCATCACTACTACACTTGAATAAGTGTTTTGTATATTTCTTTAGTTTACTGCAGGTGAAGTGTTTATACCTCATAAAGGCTGCAGAGAGCGTCATTCATTGCATCACTGAAGAGGAACAATTGGCCACATGGAGAATGGAGACTGGACACACATGGTAAATATAAACGGATAGAATAAAGCAGCGGCACTTAACCCAAAACAGTGTCCGCATTGTTTACTGTACAAAAACAGAAATAATGTGCAGAAAGCAAGATTTTTTTTTTAAAGAAAAAAAAAAGTGTTTTAGGTGGTTGCTAAGGTGTTGCTAGGCGGTTGCTAGGATATGTAAAAAGAGTCAACTCCACTATTATTATCTATAATAGAGAACATTATATAGATCAGTGGTCAACTAACATGTCTCTATGATATTCTAGTGCAAGAATTCCAAAATATTTTTGTCAGCCGACCCTTTTGAT